CCCTTTTTGTTTTCTGCTTTCCTGTCCTAGAAATCATGTCAGGCCCATCATTTATTGTGACCCTCCAGAGGCTGGGAACCACAGGACTAAACTAACTCCACCTACAAAACTTGCAGACGCTCTGTGAAACTAAATTCATTTGAATTTAGTTGCAATATACACAAATTACCAAATTTGTCCCCAGCCAAAGTCGAGTCCAAAGTCTGTGTTTAAATGTGAACTGCTACAAAGGGCTAGAACCCCTGATACTGAGTACTGTAGTAGGTAGGACTCTACTTCTTCTACTTTACCGTACTTGAAGTCTTCTACTTTAGTAACACTTAAAATGATTGTCTCTCATTCTATGGGAGTTTTTTTAGACTATAGTAGTTTTACTTTTACCACCAATGGATATTTGACTTAAGTTTAAAGACATCTTCAGGCACTAATGCTTAGTGTAATAACAAGGAACTGCATCGTATTTTACACTCCTCTTATGTCTTGTATGTAAAAACGTATTAATTTGATAGTAATAATAGCTGTAAAGTAAATGCAGCAGTAAATAAGCACAATAGTTGCGGCAGAAGTACAAAGTAAAATGGAATTAAAACTAACGTTACTTAAGTACAATACTTCGAGTAAATATAGCCTGTCATTAGCTACTTTCCACCACAGGTTAAACTGAAACCAATAGTAAACGCCTTCTTGCTTAATGGTTTAGCTTAGGTTTCAACTTTTAAAAAAGAAAATCAACAGACACATATTGTAACACTATGTAAATTAATTTAAATGATTATTTGTCTGTTGACACATATTGTAACACTAATTAATTTAAATGATTATTTGTCTGTTTATCAGCTACACAGACTCACGTTAAACTGTAATATCATCAGCTCTGACCTCAAAAACAGAGCTCCCATGCTAACGGGAGCTAGCTAGTTAACGCTAACTTTAGCTAAGAAGTTGGTACTTTAAAACTAAGCTAGTTAATATACAGCAAATAAGTTAGATTAAACACTAATATGGACATATTCACAGCTTGTCTGTGTAGTACTAATGTATACTGACACACTTACCTAATAACAGATTTCCAAATAAATAACGTTTTTCCTGTTCGGGTAATATTTGTGTGCGTATTTAGCATTCAGACTTACTTTCTGGCCAAAGTAAGCCCCGCCTTGTTTGACTTTTAACAGCGTTTTGATTGGTCGAAGACTATGACGGCACGTGCTGCATTCATCGGATGTGAGAAAAGTGTAAAATATAAGCCTCGTTGCTCGTGAAAATACGATCCACAATCAGCTGTACTGGCCATAGAATATTTACGTGTATAAAGCATTTGACTCCTGTTTATAGTGTCTCTCATTGTATTAACATACACTAGGATTAAAAATGGTCAGTAAGATCTACATGAACGTACAAAAAACTAAATACACACACATTAATACTATATTGAATACTACATGTTGTTTTGTTCTCAGGGATGAATTGTGGGAGGATCATTCTTGTTCTTGATTGTCTCTCAAATACTATATTCTGTTTGGTTTTAGGTACTTTGGAATCTGTTTCTCCAGATTTGTGTGTGGTGTCTGTTCTTATGGTGTTTAGTTGCTGCTCTCTATTGCTGCTGGAACACAGGAATTTCCCCATTGTGGGATCAATAAAGTCCTACCTACCTACCTACCTACCTACCTACCTACCTACCATTACTACTACATTCAATTAGGTGAACAAGATGCAATGAACACATTTGTTGAGTATGAGAGCAGGACTGCATGTGGACCAAAATAAGTTTATTAACTGCAGATTGTATTAAAACTCTTTTTGAATAAATTACTTATTTATACACGAAGGCCTGGGAGTAATTTTCTGTATTAATGACTTATTAACATTTATAACAGCCAATTTGAATAATAAAACTATTTTGGCATACTTATTAACACCTATTGCTACAGACTCTTTTCACTGTTTTCCGATATTTTATAGACTCACTGAATAATGGAAACAATAAACGCTTCTCCCCGTTGGTTGAAGTCCTAGTTTAGTTTCCAGAGCTTTGACAGCAAGCAAATATGAAAAGCATGGCTATTCTGTTAAACGCCGTGATTGGGTAGCAGTCAAAAAATAAGTAAATGTGATTGGCTGAATCTTTTGTCACTCAAATGATGATGAGGTTGTTGCGGACGCTCCTACAGCCAGCGGTAGCAGGATAGAGGAGCGGTGGAGAGGAGACGGCACAGTGCAGTGACAGGGCGTTATTTTTTTCATGATTAAAACACTAAACAAGAACGAATATACATACAGATCGATAGAAGCACATCTTAAATATCCAGTCCGTCATGGAGTCCTATGACATTTTAGCTAACCAGCCGGTTGTGATAGATAATGTAAGTATGATGATGTCATTCATCCACACCCAAACCGAGGCCGCTGGCTGGGACCGCTGGCTAACTGTTAGCTTCGTTAACCATTGTGCTGTAGTCAAAATATTGGCAGTCTTAACCTGGGTCTCTCTTGTTAAATGTGCAGCAGTTTTCAACATTGCTTAACGCAAAATGCCATTTAGCATCAGATGCTAGTGATTGTAGCCGTGTCTCCAGTAACAAACAGGCGCTAGCTACACCGGCTAGCCAAGCTTGGGTTTGCCAGATTCTAGATTTTAGCTGTCCGTGGTGCTGTAGCTGTATCCTGCGTCCGTAATGCTGAACATTCAACAAGGATGTGGGAGTTACTCTGAGCTCCACAGGATACCGCGTGTTTTTATGCTGCACAGACCGTAGCTGTGCCTTGAACACCGGTGAGTTAGCCACACGGATGTTAGCATTGCAGCCCAAAGTGGGAATACAAACACGCTGCCGAGTGGACTTATTGTGTCTAAGTCTGTTCTCCCTTCAAATAGTGTTTGGGTGTAGGATAAGGTTCAGATCAGTGGTGGAAGTAGCACTGAAATCCAAGGCTGTCCATTATTTGCTTTGTTTATTAACCTGCCAGTTTCCAGTTAACTGATGAGCTGATCTAAGCTTATTTTCCGGGTTAATAGTGGGATCAGGCTAAGCATCTCAGAAGACAACAGGTGGGCCTTAGTGGGAAGGTTTTGGTTTGATTTAGGTAAGAGGAAGGTCAGAGCCCCCCAAACAGTGTCCCCCTTCCCCTTGAATCAAAGAGATGGCATGAAACCGCGAATGCATCGACATAAGATCAAAAGTAACAGTTCAGATAATTTTATAGGAGCTACACACTGTTTGTATTGGGCTTCATTTCAGCTGGTACAAATATGTAACACAACAACAGAAGCTGACGGAGGTTAGGTTACAGTTGGACATTGTAGACATGACTAGCTGAAGTTAGGCTCAGGATAAACAGAACCATGCAACAGAAACCAATGTTGACACAACTCCAGCCGTTCTGTCAGCCTGGGCGGGTGTGTGAGCTGAGAGTGTGACTGCCGGTGGCGTCCAGCTGCATCTCATGACCTCCCTCTGTGTCAGACACACACTGCACAGAAAGCTGTGCAGCTCAGACTTCACCCGTAACTCTGCTGTCGTGTCTGCCTTTTCTTCAGGGTTCGGGGGTTATCAAGGCTGGTTTTGCAGGTGACCAGATCCCCAAATACTGCTTCCCCAACTAGTAAGTCTTCATTGACCTCTTCCCACAGCACTCGCATAACGATGGTCATATGTAATAGAAAGCTATACCAATTATTTTTTTTATTGGCTGATCTTCTGACAGTTTTTTATTTAATCAAGCACCTTTTTAAGTGTAAAATGCCAGAAAGTTGCAAAAATAATAACAATATTCCAGAGCCCAAGATGATCTGACCAAAATCTAAATATTGAATTAATATTAAATTAGAGGGCAAAGTACAAAATCCTACAGAAGCTCAGTTTGGTTTTTCAGCTCAGAAGGGGACCTACACAGTTACATAAGCAAACACTCATGAGAACAAGAGAAAAGGAGACGTTAGACAACGCAGCAAAAGAAGAACTGACCTCAGCATAGACACAGTCATAGAAACGATACAGCGTCACAGTGAATTACTGAAATTAGTTTTAAGATAAAAGACTAAAACACAATCTCAGACAGAGAACTAACACGTACAGGTAACTTTTTCCAAGCTGAATAAATTAATCGATTATTAAAGTAACTGCCAGTTCATCCTCTGCTGATCAACTTATTTAATCATCTTGCAGTTTCAGCTCTAATGCAGTATCACATATTTTGTGTTCCTGCCTATTTTTGTGTTTGTTTCCTATGAGCACTTTACTGTTTATGGTCTGACTGTGTGTGTCTGTGTGTGCGACAGCGTGGGGCGTCCCAAACATGTGCGCGTGATGGCTGGAGCCCTGGAGGGAGACCTCTTCATCGGACCTAAGGCGGAGGTAACACACAAGCACAAAATGCATTCAGACAATGCTGTGAATAATAGTGTGTGTAGTGTAGTAATGTCGTATCCACTGAGGAACACGGGAAGAAACCCAGTAGTTGTGAAGAAGTGCAGATTCACACACATTCTGGCTTCAGCTTGTCGTCCTTACTGATGTGCGGTGTCTCTGTGTTGATCAGGAGCACAGGGGCTTGTTGTCAGTGAGGTATCCCATGGAGCACGGCATCGTGACTGACTGGAACGACATGGAGAGGATCTGGCAGTACGTTTATTCCAAGGAGCAGCTGCAGACTTTCTCTGAGGAGGTGAGATCCTGTCTGGCTGCTACGTATTACTCGAGCATCAGTGATCTTGTTGTAATACGCCTTTGTGTTTGTCTCTTGTAGCATCCTGTACTGTTGACCGAGGCTCCCCTCAACCCCAGCAAGAACAGGGAGAAGGCTGCAGAGGTTTTCTTTGAGACCTTCAACGTTCCTGCTCTCTTCATCTCCATGCAGGCTGTGCTTAGCTTGTAAGAACCCCCTCCTCTGTCTGTGTTGGCTAATTCGATGGCCTACAGACTTGTTTGATGTGTTACTACTACATTTTAGTGTATCCTCTTTATGAGGTACATGTCAGTCAAGTCAGGTTCTGCAACATTTTACCGTTTACACTACAAAACCCAGTGTCATTAGTGTCGTTAGTCCCACTACTGCCCCCCTGTGCGGTGTCAGAAGTCCCCGCAGGGATTCATCAGTGCTGGTCCTCACTGTTTCTTAGTGTCAGCGCAGGATTATTTGAGGTCTGGACAGTGTTTCTGATAGTCCAAGCTTTGTTAAGCAGGTCTGTCCAAGTCTGGGTTCTGACTCTAGTGTGTAAATGCGAGGCCTCTGTTTCATGCAGGTATGCCACAGGCCGTACCACCGGTGTTGTGTTGGATTCAGGGGACGGTGTTACCCACGTCGTACCCATCTACGAGGGCTTTGCCATCCCACACTCCATCATGCGTGTGGACATCGCTGGCAGAGACGTCTCTCGGTACCTTCGTCTGCTGCTGCGCAAGGAAGGCTACAACTTCAACACGTCCGCAGAGTTCGAGGTTGTTCGGACCATCAAAGAGGTCAGTAAGCGATTTAAAATCTGAACTGTGCAGCTGTTTTGCTCAGTCTAATCATGTGTTTCTGGCTTTGCAGAGGGCCTGTTATCTATCTCTCAACCCCCAAAAGGACGAGACTTTAGAAACAGAGAAGGCTCAGTATGTACTGCCTGATGGAAGCACTTTAAATGTGAGATGAACAAACACTGAGGGGTATTATGGAAAGATGTTAAATATTTCCACATTGCTCTGTGGGAAACCCCCCCCATCCTGACTGCAAACCTTAAAATCCTTTTTTCAGATCGGTCCGGCCAGATTCCGTGCTCCAGAGCTGCTCTTCAGACCCGACCTGATCGGGGACGAAAGCTCGGGTATCCACGAGGTCCTGGCCTATGCTATCCAGAAGTCTGACATGGACCTGCGGCGCACACTGTTCTCCACCATCGTATTGTGTGGAGGATCGACACTGATCAAAGGTTGGTGCTAGCTGATGATGACAGACAGCGGGAGGTCCGGGATTCTCTTGACAACCCTGCATTATTTTGCTTCAACAGGTGCTGTTGCCTGTGTGTTTATCTGTGTTGTTCTATGAATACACTGTGTCCTAAATGGGAGCAGTGTGAATCAGAATAGATGTGTAAATCACAGGTTTGTACCGATTATCTCAGCCAGCAATCCGATGTTTGCTGTTACTTAAAAATATGCCACGGTGCGATTTAGATTCGATGCAAGGGCCTGTGATCGGTATGGAACGACGCTGTGTGCCTGTTTCACATAGTTAATTACATTTATATTAATTCACAGATGCAACCAAAGGATCATTTGAAAGTTTTATTGAGCTCCTCTGTTGAAATACAAACAAGGACCTATGATGAAAATTCAACATAGCTTGACTTTTGAGACAGGACGTATTTACTTTGTCACATGTTGAAAAAAGATGGAAAAAATGATGCTGTGTGTGTGTGTGTGTGTGTGTGTGTCCTTATTAATCACAACTTGTTTCTGATGAGAGACTTTGTCTGTTTTTGTTTTGGCTGCTACAGGTCAAGGCCAGTTCACATAGGAAGCGTTTTAGATGTTATTGATTACTTTTCTCACGCAGCAGACAGGAGGTCAAAGGTCAAAGTGTTTATTCGTCACATGCACAGTTAGGAAACGTGTTTCCCTGTACAATGAAATTCTTACTTTGTCGTCCACATGAATGTCACAAAATACAACTGAAATATAAAGTAGATGAATAAGTAACACAAAATCTAAGGCACTTTAAGCAGCAAATGAAGAGATGTAATAAAAATATATAAGAATATAATAGAGAATGTATGATGCATGGGAGCAGCAGGATTCCAGTCAATCACATGTCAGACCAGACACACATCACCCTGGGCCCTCTGTGGTTTTTTTTTTACTCCTCAGACAAATCCCTCGTTATTCTTTTTACTTGAATCTGTTGTGACTGTCCAGGCTCCTGGTGTTTCTTTCCCCTGCCCTCTGTAGCCGCTCAGTGAAATCAGTAAGCCCACACATAAAACGCTGCACGTCTTCCTGATGAGTTGTCCAGTACCTTTCTGCACAGAGGCCGGAGTCGGCATGGGTTGAACAGGCCAAACCCTTCAGCAGTTCAGTGGTGGTGCTCGTGTCTCAGAATAGCAGCTGGTGCTTGATGGCCAGTTTGACGAGAGCAGCACTTCAGCAGCAGTGCGTAGGGATGTGGCTGGCTGAGTGTCGAAGTAAAGGCTCGTCTAACATCGATGTTTACGTTTTGCATCGATGACATCAGATCGCTTGGTGTTTGATCGATGCACCGTGACACCTGTGAACGAGCTAAAGTTTCACTGTGGTCTCTGACTCATGCACATACTGAATCCATTTGATGTCTTTTAGGTTTTGGAGAAAGACTATTAACTGAAGTCAAGAAGCTCGCACCCAAAGACGTCAAGATCAAGGTAGGTCCAGAGTGTGGTGGTGGTCATGTGGCTGGACAGGTGCTCCCTGTGTGTGTGTGTGTGTGTGTTGTAAAGGTGTGTTTGTGACCCGTGTTGTTCTCCCCCCTCTCCAGATCTCTGCTCCACAGGAGAGGCTCTACTCCACATGGATTGGGTAAGAAATCAGACTTCAGTTGTAGCTGCAAACTCTTCACCTTTCTGTGTAGAATTGAAGAGAAGGTTTTGGGTTGTGGTGCGGTTCAGGCTCCGCCTGGGCAAACCACAGAGTCCTGCGCTTGAACAAGGACTGTTTGGCCACATGTCTGTGATGCAAACAGCTTTCAGATGCTGCTGTTTACCTGAGATACAGATGAGCTTGTCAATAAATAAAACCAACTTCATCTTTGGTTGCCTCAGTGACAACAGCCAACATCTAAAAGTGGTCTGTGCCAGTGTGTTTCTAGGGGTCACGAGGGCTTTGAACACACACGTGCTACCGGTCAGAGGTTTGGACTTGACCGTTCAGCTCAGTGGGACAGTGGCTTGTCTTGCCGTTATGCGACACTGGGAGTGTAGATGTAAAACACTGACGTTTACTGAAGGAAGGCTGTTTTACTTAGTTTGTAAATGTATTTTTTATCTGTTGGGCTACAACCCAACCAGTGAGCAGTGAGCACCAGAATGTGTTCCTACACATCTGTAACCTCCTCCTTCCTTGTCTTGTGACAGTGGCTCCATCCTGGCGTCGTTGGACACCTTTAAAAAGATGTGGGTGTCAAAGCGAGAATATGAAGAAGACAGAGCACGTGCCATCCACAGGAAGACCTTCTAAAAGGGCCGACGCCCTGCAAACGCCCCCAGAACTGCCCTGAACCCCCATCCCCCCAGTCACACTGTCGGAGCCTCCTGATGTCCGGGTACCTCTGCTTCATCCTTTATCAGCCCAGCTGCTCCTAAACCACTGTCAGCCTACCACTTCACCGCCCCACCCCCTCGGAGAAACACACATTTATGTGTGGTCGTTTCCGTATTTGCCTCCTCTTTCATTCGCCTCCTTGTCCCCCTGTTCTTCCAGCGGTTGGGTGACGGTGCCATCCCCGACCGCCCTCCCAACATTCACACACAGAGGGCTGTCAGGGGATCCCAGAGGGCAACGATTAGCTCCGTGGACTCTACCACCGGCCCTGCTATACTATAACTTAGTCTACATTGAAGTATTGCTCTCTTGCCTACAAAGCCCTGCACGGTGTAGAATATTTTGAAATGTCAAACGTGAAGGTTTTTTGTTTTGCTACTGTTGAAATTTCCATTCCAAACGGAACATATAGGTTTTCAGTTAGTCCATTTTGTAGTTTGTTTTTTAAGGTTTCTGCCCTGGATTAGCTCACACTGCTAGTAAGGTAAAGGTCACCGTGTATTATATATCTGGCCTGAACTGCACAGTTATGCTCTTAAATTGAATGCGGTTAATTCATCATCTGACTGACTGACCTGCAGTCACCTCTTGTTGTCCTCTTTCATTATTACCGTGAGATGTTTCTGCATAAACAGGACTTCACGTGTTTGTGTCAGCTTTTGTCTCAGCTGACGGGATTAAAGCAAAGGACAGGAAATGCTTTGTTGAGTTTTTAATTCATTACATTTACAATGTTCGAGCTGCACAGTTAAAGGAGACGTGTGGCGTTTTCCAACTTGGGTGTTCTTCTCTGTTACAGAGATTTGATAAAAACAACTCTGGGAAAATAAAACGAGCCTCCGTAAAGTCCAGATAAACCTCAGTGTTACAGGAAGTGTTTCCAACGCTGGCCACAGTAAGCAGAAGTAGCCTCCTGGACTAACTACTGTGAGGGGAAACACTCACCAGCTACAGGAACTGGTTTCCCTTTCATCTGCAACAGGAACAACACAGTACAATGTAGGTATGATTTAGGAAAAGCAACTCAAAAACTGCTCAGGGCCTTTCCACATAAACTTCACTTAGCTTTACTGACCACAACAGTTGCCTGTTGACCTGCAGTAATAACAAACGTGTGGGACTCATTGCTCCATGTCCAGAATGATTTTGTTTGAACAGTAGAGATATTACAGAGAATCCTGAAAGTCTGGCTGATTTGTGGGGACTCCCTCCAGGGCTCCAGGTGTGTTTTGTGCTGCTAACACTGCTGGTATTTGTGCTCAGATGTCTGTGAAACTGAGGTTTAGTATTTACCAAGCTTCTGGAAACTGCTGGTGCTCGCAGCCATGTTTAAACTACACCAGAGGGAGAGAAAAGACCCAGGTTGAAAAATACGAGCGTTTCTTTTTACGTGTGTTGTAACATTCAGCTGGTTTGATAAGTCGCTGTTCCAGTCCCCACATCCGTTGGCAGCTCTGTTTTACTCGGCTGCATGTGAGTGAATCATGTACAGTTAAAGGTGTCCACGCTCTGTCACAGACACAGGCCCTGGAGTCTGAGGCCACAAATCTGACGTGCCCCATGGTTTTTGTATCCTTTTCCCTCTGTGTAGTTGTCAGTCTGGGTCCCGTGATTTCCCTGCATCCCAGTGACAGTGAAGGCGTCGTGTCCACACTGTGTCCGCCAGCACTGGAGCGTCCGTGTCGTCTGCTTCTGGGTGTTTTAAAAAAAAGTTTAAGGAAACACCAAGTTTGTAAAATGCCATCAACCGTGTGTACGGTGGAATGCTTTTCAGTATCAGCCTCCACTAAATCCCCAGGATAACAGACTAAAAATGTACAATACTCTTTCTTCAAGTGTTTGCTTTTACGTTTCTTAAATTCAGTATAATAAATAAGTTAATGGCTGCTGCTCTCATCTCATGATTTCTCTGCTAGTTTCAGATGTGGCACATTTAGTCAGTTACAAATTTAAATTAGACAATTTATTCCACACAAACCTTTTTGTCAAATCACTCATCCAGGACCCATTTGGAGTGACACCATGACTACTACACTGAGTACCTGACTGCACTAACATCATTTTACATATGTACTATTAGTATTTTAGGCTGCCTCTAATTTTCACATTCACTCTGGATGTTACTGATTGATATTAATCCAACTCGGCATCATGTTTGTTGGCTGTGTTGATGGATCAGAAAGACACGTTGACCATGAGCAGATGAAGTCCATTAGATGGTGCTGTGGGTCTGTGCACGTGATGTGTGCACGCTGTAGCCCAGCATTCTGATCAGACTGTTTCAGTCTCATTGGCAGAGAGCTGGGCTCGTGTGTGTTTGTCTTTCTGGGTGTTTTACACTTTTTCTCCACAGCTTTGGCTCAAACCTCAAACGACAGCTTAACGCTTTCAAAACAAGTTTTTCCTTTTGTGCGACAAAGCCCCGTTTCTGAACCTTTTCCCATAAATGTTGCTGAACTCATTTCACTAATGATGATGGACAGTTGTCAACACTTTGAACAACTGTCAGTTGTGTCCCTTTTTCAAAACAGCGAGTTCACATCATCACACGCTCGTGTGTCTGTCCTCTTTAGGACAAACTGCATTCAGATGGAGGCCTCGGTCTGACTCCCCACAAGATCCCTCCCCAGGACCAAATGTGCCCAGTCCAGCAGTGACACGGCTCATCCTCCACCCCCCTCTAAACCTCGGTGACCTGGGCTCGCTGTGCCAGTAGATTCTGCTGCAGACTGACGAGCCAGCAACCAGGAAACTGTGATTTAACAAAGAGGTAGGATAAGGATCTTCCCACCAGCTGTCCAAGTCCCTGACAACAGGGATGCTGGAGGAGGGGGGGCAGAGGCATCTCGCACATTGCACCAACAGACAATATGACACACAACTACACAGGAGGAGGGGGGTTGGATCAGCTTGTCTGGAAGACACAGCAGCCCAGAAGTGCAGAGGGATTTTGCCTGTGACTCACCTTGCATAGATTAGCATTAGTTAGCTTTATAAAAGAATCAGCGCAGAGGAACGGAGGCTGGAGTCAGAGGAGAAGCAGCAGAGATTGTTCTGTGTTTTCTGTCTCTGCTCATGGTCGAACGGTAAAAATGGGAGGCACCACAGTCTCCCCCGTCTCCCCCATCCCTGTTTCCTTGGTTACCTGTGATGGTGCACACGCAGTAGCTATTTATGAAACTCACACACACTGAGTGAAGGGGCATTTCACCAGGCTGGCATGAAATGTTCCAGACCAGTTTTTGTCCGAGCAGCCCTTTGAACACCTGACATACCAGCTTGAACGGCACACGGTCGTGTTTCCAACTCTTCAGAGGACATGGCGCTGAATTCCACTTGTTTCTGGAGACTTGGTGTAACCTTAGCCCAAACCAAACCATTTACATCATGGAGACTTTTCTAAAGGTTGTCCTCACACTGTGACAGTGTAAACAGGTTTGGTCTCCACAACATGAATAAGGCAAGTACACACACACACACACACACCACAGTGCTGTATTTCTGGTTTAGTGAGCCATATAGTCATGAACAGTATGAGAACTGTGCACCGACGACCTGCCAGACACAGCCGTGCTCTAAACACAAATGTTGGTGCCTTAATACAAGATAATGAGGCCGAAGCGTCCTGTTGCCATAGCGGGGTCAGTGGTGTCGATCTGAAGGCTGAGAGGACTTGTTAGGTTCCACCTGACTAGCTGAGCACCAGCATACAAAGGTGACTGACTAACAACGTTAGAGCACGACTGTGATCATAGCACAAGGCTGCTGTGCCAAATATATTTTCCCAGTGTGTCTCTGATGAAAGTCTTCCTATAAATGGTCCATTTGTAAATCTATTACCTGGAAAGCAGCTCTTTCATTCCACCATTACCATGTAAAGTCCTACCAGACAGCCTGCTGTGCCATCCCTCAGGAGACCGCGTCCATCGTCTCACACAGCTGGAGAAATGAGCCCATCCATATGTGACACCATTTAGAGACCACAGATCAGAGTGGGACGCACAGTCATGGAGAAGTGGATCCGTGGCTGACATCTGGTCCCGTCAGCCAGGAGTGTGAGGACTGGGTCGTTGTGGGTCAGCCCCAGAGGCGTCATCTTCACTGGGAGTCAGTGGAACAGGTTTCTGTCCAGTTTCTAATGGCTGACATCTGGTCCCATCAGCCAGGAGTGTGAGGACACCGCTCATGACAGCAAGGCTCACACACAGTCTGTTTCCAATGGGTCGCTGTGGGTCAACCCCAGAGGCGTCATCTTCACTGGGAGGCAGTGGAACAGGTTTCTGTCCAGTTTCTGTCCTGTCTGTACCTGACATTTCCTCAGCAAACAGTGTCTACACAAGAATACTGGAAAGCCTGGTAAACTGTGGCCTGGTGGGGCCTGTTGGGGCCTGGTGGAGCCTGGTGGAGCCTGGTGGAGCCTGGTGGAGCCTGGTGGAGCCTGGTGGAGCCTGGTGGAGCCTGGTGGAGCCTGGTGGAGCCTGGTGGAGCCTGGTGGAGCCTGGTGGAGCCTGGTGGAGCCTGGTGGAGCCCGGTGGAGCCCGGTGGGGCTGTACCTATACTGACAGTAAGCCCTGCACTCACCAACGACCTCACCCTCTGTCTCATGGGCAAGAAAAAAGTCATTAACGTGTGTCAGTGTGGCATTTTATTATTATACGATCCTGCCTGAATCCTGAGAAAAGTCTCTTCTCTTTCTTTTTTTGGTAAAACTACATTTCTCTGTGCATTTTAAGTCTTGCAGGCTTTAGTTTTTTCATTTTGAGGTGGTTTTGTGGTGTGATGTGTGTAACGTCATTACTTCACTGACGTCCTCATCAGTGACAGTCAATAACATTTTCACAGTTAGTTTGATAATCGTGTAAAACTCCGTCCCCAACGTTTGGCACTTTCACAGTCAGTCTAAATGAAGTCAAAGTGTCATTTTGAGATAGCAAGTAAAAAATCTTAAATTATTTAATTATGAGACAGGCCTTAATTTTGGGAAGCTAAGGTAAAATTTCAGGGGAATATAATGCAACTTTCCATTTCTTTCTTGTTTTAATGGACAAACAGGCTTCTGTAGCTCACAGATAAACATGTTTCTTTATTTAGTTTTCTGTTCTTTTTCAGACGTCCACTATCAGTGGACTAAGTAACAAACACACCTACAGTTTTCACACTTGCTTTAATGACGTGGTCACAACGAACTGACATGAAGACACACTACCCGACGGTGTCCCAGAGCTTTCGTCTAAATTACAGTGGACAGTTTTATCCAAAATCTTAATTACAATTTTGAAATTAAAGATAGATGGAAAATGAATCATTCCAAAAGGAAAGTGAAAATGGAAATTGCACATTGAACTGAAGTGAAAAATGTCGATAACAGAACCGAAGATAAGCTCAAATATAAATGCTCAGACTGAAAGGTGATGGAAAACCTGTAAAGAAAGTTTCTAATGCATCAGAAACTGAAGATCTTTTGTTGCTTGTGAGTTGACAGCTTCAGAACAGTGAACTACGAGGAGATGTGGACACCAGGGGCTGTATGTTGATGATGGTGGCGTCCTGCTACAAAATGTGCTCAGTCCTTCAAGGTTTCAGAGAAAGTAAGGCCGTGTGGCATCAGCAGTAATCACATCCGTCACAGACTTTATTGTATTTATCACTAAAAACAGTAGAAATCCAGTCAAGTATCTAAATATTTATCACAGCATGTTCACCACAAACTAAGAGTCTGAGTTGTATGAGACGTCGACGTTAAGCTCCCTCATCCTCTTCCACTGTACTTACGTCAAGCACTGACGACCTCGACACACCAAGGCATGATCACCATCAAAATGAAATGATTTACAAGTTACATATAAAACATTTATGCCAGTGAGTTGTTTCCTTCTCCAGCGGTTGGAGCATTCTCTCAGGTTCTCGCTCTAAGTTCTCAGTTTGGGACACTTTTGTGTCCCTGCATCAACATTTTCCACATTTTCCTGCCGGCCAGTGCTCGAAGCTGACCTTTTGCTCAACCCCACAGAAAAGTTATTGCTCCCAAATAGCAGGAAGAGCCAACATTAATTAGCTACATGGTGTGGTAGGATTTGTCATAAACTGTCTGTTCGACCAACAGAATCAACGACCGCCTGCTTTTATCTGCTTCTGTGTGAAACCATGGATCTGAAACCTGGATTCTGTAAATGACAAGAGAAGGTAGGAGGAGCAGGGTAAAGCCAAGCAGTCAGTTCTCCCAGCTCCCCGGTTTTCTGTCTGTGTCCTGCAGCGGAGTCTATTTACAAGACTGTACGATGGTGTTCTGGACTTAAAGCTACATCCCCCAGCCTCTCCATCGCTTCCTGTCCCTGCACAGTCAGCCCCAGTGAAACCAGCTGCCTCGCTCTGTTAGGAGAGTCGTGGAAATGAGGTTGAGAGAGTAGCTGACTTGCTCAGAGGTCTCAGGCAGTTTGTGACCAGTCTGGTGGTATTGCCTATTAGGTGCTCACTGGTATTGCTTTAGCTGGCATTGCTGGGCTGCTCTCTAGCCTGGGCGAGGGAACATACACTGACCCCATCCTGTTGAGGGACGTGGCCTTCGTCACGCCCTCGCTGCCCACAGTGGAGAGAGGGAAGCTCTCGTAGCTCTCCGTTGCCTGGTTACTGCACTGGCAGCGCTGCAGCGTCAACTTCAGCTCCCTCTGGAAGTTGCTGTTGAGGAAGCCGTACACCACGGGGTTAATGCAGGTGGAGGCCATCGCTGTGAGGTGGCAGGCGGAGAAGACGGCGTCATGCTGGCAGTCAGGTAGGGCCTGGTGGTGCCAGTCGAACAGCGTGTTGAAGACATTGAGCGGCAGCCAGCACAGAGCGAAGGCCACCACGATGGCTAACAGCATGATGTTAATCCTCTGGGCTCCCCGAGTCCTCCTGCTGTGCTCCAGTATGTCCCTGCACAGCAGAGCAACACGGTGACTGTGAAACCTCACACCCAGACTAAGGCAGCGCTGTAGGACAATGTACAACATGACATAATAACAAAGCATTCGTTCTCACAGTGGATGGGAAAAGCTTGTGATGTAAAGGAAGCGGGGGCCTGTACAGCTGTGCTACGTGTGCAGTGGTTAGCACTGTCACCTCCCAGAAACAAGGTTCTGGGTCAGAACCTGGTGGCCCACCGGGCCTTTCTGTGTGGTCTGCGTGGGTTTCCTCCCACAGTCCATACAGCTTAGGGTGACCGGTGACTCTAAACTGCTCGTAGGTGTGAATGTGAGAGCAAATGTGTCGATCTGGCAGATGGATGGAACTATGTGGGCAAATGAGCTGCGGAGCTTATCCCGTACACGTCAGCGGCGATTAATAATAAATAAACAAAACAAGTGACCTGCGTCGTCTCAGGCGTAGGAAGATCCTGAGGTAGCAGAGCAGCACCAGCAGAAGTGGCAGGCAGTACTGGAAGAGCAGCAGCGAGGGCGTGTAGGCAAGGCGGTGCTTTGCTGGTGGCCACAGCTCCATGCAGATCAAGTGGTCCCTTAGACAGGACAGACGTGGGTAAATTCATCATCATCATCATCAGACTTTACTTTGGACACAGCAAATGGGGAGGGGAGTCAACAGAACAGCTGGATACAATAAAATCAAATATCAAACAAATATAGACTAAATGTTCTTTCTGGCTTTGACTCCTCACCTGACTCCAAAGGAGTCTGTTTATGCATAAATGGAAAATAAAAATCTTGAATAACAAGTAAACACACAACACCTCATTCACTACAAAGAAGAGTTTCACATGCACATCAGACAGAACTCAGGTTAGGCTCAACTGTACGATTTCCTATGGCAGCGGAGCAGCTGTGTACGCCCGCGTTCACAAACATTTTGCTTGTGCTGCTGCTTCTTGGAGCTTTAACCTACAGCCTCCTACTGTCAGACGTCAGCGCCACAGCTTGTAATGGCCTCAATATTTAGTCTTATTGCACTGCTCAGGGGCAACGCCTTTTGGCTATTTTTCCCATCTAACCACAGCACGACAAATGTCAGCCACATGGCCACAGAGCAGTCGGCAGACGTGTGCACCCAGGTGTAGAAACACCAGCGTGAGCCTTGAATATTGTAGTAGAGGAAACGATGAGTTCACCGTTCTTCAGCCAAGCGACTGGTTTCCAGTCAGACGGGTAATACTGCACTAAACATGTAATTATCGTACAAACTTCTGCTCACGTCTGTGTTTCTGTGATGACGGTGAAACTAGAATCAACATCCACATGTAGAGGACTCTGCTCTGCTGCCGTCTTTGTTTGAGGGATGTTCTAAACTTACTGTGTTTTCTTTCACAGTTGTCACTGCTTTTATTATTTAGTATAAATTATCATTGAATTGCTCTCTTCCTTTTATTCCTGGGTTGGCTATGAGCCACTCTGGGTATGAGAGTATCTTCATGTCTAAATGGTGGATCTTCAGTAAATACATGTCCTGAATTATTGCTATGCTACGTTCTACCACACCAAACGACGATATAAATATTTACTTGATTTCAATATGCATTAAACATAACTTGATGTAAGCTGCAGTCACAGCTGAAAGTTCACTCCTGAAATTGGCTGCAAATGCAAATGTAATCAAAGACTCCCGGCGCCGGCTCATAGCAGTGGCAGCCTGGTGCAGTGTGTTCACTTCTAATTATCCTCATGTCTACCAGGTCAGGTGTGACTGTGCCCATCAGACTGGCTCCCTCTCTCTCCCCTTTATAGGACGGGACAGTAGAGGAGTGTGATGAGGACCTGGGGTTCTTGGCTGGAGCTGAACGTTGCAGTTATGAGCTGTGTCACTTTTTAAGTCTAATCCATGCACATCAGGTTCAGGTTTTTAGGTCGAGGCTGAGTCCAACACTGTGGACCTATGAAGATCTCTAGTCTCTGTGCATGTGCCTCTGAATAAGTAAAGCTCCCAATGTGCCCTGCGGTGACACTGAGACGCAGGTGGAAATACCCACAGTCTGATGAGAAAAGAAATACAGAACTGGCTCCTGATCGGCGTAAACTGCTCCCACTGCTGCGTAAACATGTTTGTTTGGTGCCAGGAAATGACCAGAGAGGAAAAGAAAACCAGCGGAGGAGAAAGCTGCCAGGCACGTGTGTGCACTGCTGCTGGCCGACCCCGTGTTTATTCAGGGCGCTCATCCTGGACTCTGCACCTTCCTGGAGAAATGTACTCACATGTTTATGTTGAGTCTGAATGCAGTGTTTTTAATGATCTGAGTGTGGTGGGTTTGGGATGCCAAGGTGCTCAGCTGAAAGATTTAGATGCTTCTTTGTGCTGACAACTGTGAAATCTTAACTAACTGAAACATCACTGGCCTCTGAGCTGTATCTACCATGCCACCTCTACATTTCTGACTTCTGTAGCTGTGAGCTCACAGCTGGTCAGTCACAGCAGCTCTCTGAAGTTCTCATTTTCTCTGTACTGGACCATGTACTTGGCCCTGGCATTTTGTTCTCAGGACTATGCATCACTTCATTCTATGGTTTTACTAAAGAGGAGAGAAACGCTCCCCGAGCCCGCGTGCTTCCTGGGCTGGGCGGTGACGGTGCAACACAGCTGAAGACCAGCACTGACAAGGTGCTTTGCTGTCGAGGCACAAGTTCAACAAATTTGAACACGATGTGATGGATTCGTATGGATTTACTTGGCGAGTGTAACCAAACCTCCATATGTCTGTAAATGCTGCTGTGACAGGGGCTTGTTCCTGATGCTGTGACAACGGGATAAGTACCTGAAGGGGTTGGCGGGCAGACTGATGTTCTGGAAGGGGTCATTAGTAAGGATGTTGAAGGACAGGAAGGGCAGAGAGATGAAGCAGGCGACCAGCCATGTCAGGCCCACAGCCAGGTAGGAGTGGCCGGCAGCGGGTGACCAGCCCGTGGGATGGAGGATCAGCTGGTGACGCTCCAGAGCGATGAGCACCAGGGAGAAGATAGACACTGTCACGGACATGCACTGGACAAAGGGAGTCACCTGCACAGGCACAAAACACACAAGTCTTATCTAGATCTGAGGAAACAGACACGATTTGTGAGTCAAAGCTTCTTTGCTGTTTCCTTTCATCTGCTGTGTTTTTGATTAGTTCCTGTACGTTTCACCAAAAAGGCCACAGCTGATTAGTTGGGTCACCTACTGAATAAAAAAGCACTTTGTAACCACTTAACCTAAATTCTCAGTTGTTGTAAACTCAACTATCGGCTGCAGTTATTTTCATCAAACAGTCCTGGTTGTTCTGATTAGAAATGTTGGCAGCACTTTCTGATCAGGCACCATTTAAAGGGCTTTAGAAGCTTTAGTTCATGGATTTGTTATTAGTTATATCATTTTCAACCATTATCAACATCCTCCTGTAGCAGGACTCCCCCTAAACAAGAGGCCATGAAGTCTGCAGTGATAATGTTGGTGAGCATTAATAAAACCTGATGGGTTTCTCAGCTTGGAACAAGACCTGACACCAAATCGGCGAACAATAACCAGGCCCAGCTGCACAGAACACGACTTATAGGCCAATGTAGATAAATAACACCCTGATATCTCCCGATCGATCATGTTCCAGCCTTACTGACGGCAGACACAGACACACTGACTACGGCAGAGCTGTGCACATTTAAAATAAGCAATGACAAGGCCTTTGATTTTACTTAGACTTCATGAATTTCTTTGGTCATTTATTGCAGCGTTTGCAATGCTAACGGTTACAGTTGATAAACACTTTAGAAACAGAAAGGGGGACAGGAATTTCACAGGCACTAAATTAAAGCATTAAATATCCATACTGTGTGTGTGTGGTGGGGGGGCGGAGTGCTGACCTTACACAGGGCCTCCCCCAGCACCCAGCGGTCCATCAGTGTGTATATGACGGTAACTGGAAGACACACCACACACATCAAGATGTCCGAGCATGACAGGTTGGCGATCAGGATGTTGGTGACGTTGCGTAGCTCCTGCTGCCGGGCGATGATGAACACCAGGCCTGAGTTGCCCAGCAACCCGATTGCGATGACAGCGCTGTAGGCCACAATCAAGAAAGTTGCTCCGCCTACAGAGGGCGGGCACTGAGAGGTGTCTGCCCAATCAGAGGCCTCCCACACCCCAGGGATGCTGCTGTTGTTGGACATGGTGGGGTAAGGACAAAGGGAAGGGGTGATGTGATGTGTCAGGGGTTAGAGGTCAGCAGGACCAGAGCCCCGAGGCTGCTGCTGAACTTCCTCAGAGAATAAACGTGTACAGCCAGATCCAAGCAGAAGTGACAGGAAGGAGGAGGCAGCAAAGTGGAGGCCAGCCGTACAGCAGTCAGTACTGTTTGTGACGGAGGAGAGATTCAAACATGCATGTTGTCCTCCTTCCCCATCACTGTCAGCATCTCAGCGGGCGAGCTCAGCATCAGTGTCTCCCTGCAAAGAAAAGAAAGCAGAACACTGAGAGGAGATGGAGGCGACAAAAGGAACTGAAACAGGGGAGTGGGACCAATATTTTAGCATTTTCATTTGAAAACCACGGCCAAGAAACCACTTACTGAACAATATCTGATGGACAGGCAGAGGAGCTCACACTGAGTGAAAAAGGCCACTGAATGATGTGACAATACCTGAACTGGCTGATCCCACTACATTTCTAACTATGCTAATATCCATAAATCTAGCCCGTGAACACAGATATTCTCAACAGTATGTCACATGATTCACTCTATATAAAAGTCAAATATCATTGTTTATTCAATACTTCTATTTTAGCGGCTTTAAATAAAGGGGTCGTGTGGCGGCTGGAAGAAGGTGGGCGGCTAACGTCGTCTGCGACACGGTTTCTAGCCAAGACGGAGCAACTCTGAGTGAACTGTTTAATGAGGACACAGCTGTACAGCCCTGCATCTTATCCTGCTGGCACTATTCTCATCCACTGATTACAGCATTCATCACATCCTCACTCACATTTCTGCACACACACGTGCACATGGATACCATCAGACAGCCGCCCATTCCCTCTGCCGGCCTCTCTATGGTCTGAACGGCCCACAATGAGACACACTCACAGGGGTCATTACACATCCACACTGACTCACTTGCACCATCCACCAGCTTGTGATAACACTCATTAAAAAGCTCGCCATCTCCTGCTCTGTCTCCGCTGCACACACATTTATGCCTGTTCAACATGTCTCTTCATCTCAATGAGCGGAAGAAAGATCTCTCTGCCAGAGCTCTGGCTGCAAAGCCCAGCTCCTCCCCACCAGCTCCATGATGTCCAGGGACACCGTCCAAAGCCTCATCAACCACCTGCTGCTCTGCTCCACCAGCAGCAGCATCTGAGACTCCAGGGGATCCTGGATTTGTCCGTACTGAAGAGGCTAAACACATGCAAGAAGGGAACAAAGACTGAGCAGGAAAGGTGAGACCAGGTGTTCCACATGAAGTCATCAGGCACCCAGGTATGGTCACAGCCTGCATGAAGAGCACCTCGTTTGCACAGAGCATGTACAGGTGTGCAACACTCATAGGGCATCATATAGGGGCTTTAAACACTCACATCAAACTGAAGTCCTACAATAAATCCTCCCACCATGCTGCATTCCCGAGTGTCCCTAACAAACTGACCACGGAGTAGGTACACAGGTACAAACCTTGTTCTGGACAAACAGAATATTCACTCACCACTTCCTGTTAATCCTGTCTGGACTGGGCTGGAAACAGCTTCTGATTTCTTGGCTTCATCACACTGCTCTGTTTTTCCTGCCAAAATGTACAAGGACTAAAAACTAATAAGTGCCTAAGAAATAAACAGAATCACTGTAAATCGTCCACAAGCTGGGCCCTGTCAGGAAGAACTAAATCCTCCAGAGACAGGAACGTTTTTATGACTCCGTTTGGTGAAATGTTGCTGCTCACATTTCCATGTAAACTTGACCCGAGTGGGTGTTTTGAATGATGAAGCCCACAAACAATGAGCAGATGTTTTCATTCAAAACAGCTTTCAAGGACACTCTGCTTGGCTCCAAAGCCAGAACACATTCATTTGTTTTCCTGCTTGGGCTTCATCCAAATCTCTTCATTAAATAATAGTCGACTTTTGTCAGAGAGTCAAGTGCATGTGTTTGAATCCCACAGCTGGGCTGAAATGGTTTTCAGTCAGAAGGAGATCCAGTTCATGACATGAACGTGTGTGGATGTGGGGGAGGGCAGGTGTGGTCCGGGCCTTGCTGCGTAGCCCCCTGGATGATGATGCTTCTCTCTTTTCTATTTGCTCTTTGATTTTCTGTCAACACACCTGAACTGACCTACAGATGTGTGTTAACATCCTTGTTAGTGCACTGTGCTGTTTGCAGCTGTGCCTTCATACAGGATGATATTAAAGGGAGGAGGACAGCAGGTCAGAGAGGAGACGGGTTTGTGTTTAACAGACTTAGCAATAATTTACACTTTAAGTACTCTTTAAATTACAGAGCACCGATTAAATAATTGTGGGGTGTGTTGGTGCTGCCATTGCTGCAGTGGCAGAGTTGGATGAACAGAGTCACCGTGGAGTCGTCCTTCCACTAATGTTGCTGAGAATACACTTTAAACATATCTCTTGTTTTATTCCCCATGTCTCAAGGTGTTTAACAGCGTCTTAGTGTAATCTTTGGAAAGCTTCTTCCCTTTCCTACACTGCACTGTACCCAAGTCATTTGTCTTTGTGCTGGGACTGTCCACTAGAGACCATATCCACCAACTTCTGTCCAAAACTATGGGATTATCCAGGGTTACATGTTTCATCCCCTGACTCCTGTTGCTCCTGTCCAAACTGGGCTGTTAATAATGACAAGGGCTCCTGCTGTCTTGGCTTCATCACAGACTGCTCTGTTATTCCTGGCAGGACAGAGCAAAGTGTTTAATGTTGTCATCACCTTGTCCATTTATAGGCACTGAAGAGACCAAGACAAGGGCGCTGTCATTTTGTTTTCTGCTCAGGGTTATGACTGCAGAGATATAAATAACCCGACTGTGGAACTGGGACAGCCATAGTGGTGCTGTCTACACCACCCTGGACCCCAGGATGGTGCTGAAGAAGAGAAGAGGGGTCGACTGATTTCTATGATCAGAAGGCTCCAGCTGATTCTTCACTGTCCGGTTCTGACTTTGTGTGCCAGCACATATTCGGACAACACTGCCTGTAGTCCCACGAGCCGCACCGTGGCAGGTTCTGTCTTTGCCACGTTCAGGACATGGTTCGTTGAAATGACGGGTCGGTCAGTGTGGGTGAAATGATCCTTAAGGTTTAATGTCTGTTAGGATGTAAAGTCTTGAACGTGGAGCCGGGAGGGACGAGAGCAGCTCCAGCAGAAAACAGGAGAGCACGCAGTCAAGGACAAAGCCACACAAAAACAGGGAAATCTCAGTTTGGGTGCTCATCACATTGTTGCAGATGGCATCTTCACACTTCTTCCCCTGATTGAATGTGACTGTCACTTCCGGTCACGCTGGACAGGCTGTTATGTTCCTGAAGCACAGAGCAAGTGCAGATCTGTACCTTTGACGAGTTACCGAACCAGACTATGACGTATGTGTGTGGAGATGATGTCGAGCTTCGGTAAAACTCTGGATAAACAGAAGAAGTGAGAGTTTGAATTGTAAAGGAAGAGCTGATGGTTCAGCTTTTTAAACAGAAGAAACCAAACAAGTCAGAAACCATCCATCTGCACTGCCTTACAAAAAGCACGGGAGCATACGCAGCCTAATTTGGTCAACAAAGAGCACAGCAAAGAGTCTGCACACACAGACACACACGATCTCCTTCTCCTTTTCTTCTGTCCTACACGATCCCACACAGCAGACGACAGACTGTTGGAGATCAAACAGGATACTGGCCAACAGCCTCGTCCTCTCTGGTTCCAGCAGCCCCCACCTCCTCGGAGGCTGCTGCAAAGTTTCCCTCTGAAAAAGGTCTGTCGCTTTTAAAAGGAGTCTGTGATGTTAATCCTTCGAAAATTTACTTCACCATTCAGCTGGTCTCCATCTCACTGCTGATAAATTTCACATATTCACACTGAAGCCTCTAAATCCGATTTGATTTTTTCATTGTTAAACTATTTAGTCTGACAGATCTGGAAACTAAGAATAAAATAAATAACACTGCTTTAATACTCATCCATTATCTACACCGCTTATCCTGAACAGGGACATGGGGGCCTGGAGCCAATCCTGGTCTGACTCTGGGTGAGAGGCGGGGTCTAACCTGGATAGGTTGCCGGTCTCACTCTGGGTGAGAGGCGGGGTCTAACCTGGACGGGTCACCGGTCTGACTCTGGGTGAGAGGCGGGGCCCACCCTGGACAGGTCGACTCCATGCAGACTCCACACCGAAAGGCCCTGGAACCTTCTTGATGTGAGGAGACAGCACTAACCACTACGCCACCATGCCGCCTACAGCGTTAACATTCATTTATGTAATTGTTGCTTGGTTTTGAACCAGGAGTGTAAGGAAGCTGTTACGTTGCTAAAGGCAGCTGCAAGATGCAAATCTGAGCTCAGCATAAACACAATTTGCATACAAATAGATCTGGAAGTGTCTGTTCGGGGAAGCATGCTCTCTCAGATGGTGTGTGTGCAACACACCTTCCATTTCTGTAAAGTTTCACAAATCAGATCAGTTTCTAATTTTCATCTCAGCATTTCGTGCTAGTTGCCATGGCGGCACGAAGGCCACCATCCTCCTGGTAATGCAGGGAGTGGGCGTGATGATTAATGATGCTTCCATCACATGCAGCACCATATTCCAACAGCTTGTACCATGTCTGCAGCTCACACACACAGACCTCATGGTGATAACAGCGTTGATCTTATTCCTTAAGGCATAAACCCTTAGAAATCTCCAGCAGAGCCTCCAGAACCCGACAAGAGAGCGTGTTAGTGCCAGCAGGGCAGAGACAGGGGGATCTGCTCAGACGTTCATCCAGCAGATGGCTGATCTCTCTTGGACTAAAGCCAGGAGCCTCTGGCCAGTGCTGCCAAGGGGCCAGGTGCCCCTTGTGTGTCCTTTGGTCGGTGTTGTAATCCAGTTCTAACATTAACTATATCACAGCGTAGAAAGGAAGACAGATGGGTGATGGTGTTAGAGAGAGACATGAGATAAAGGAGGAGTAGAAAATAATCCACCTCCAGACGGATTCTGTCTGCGGCCCTGGTCTCCACAGTTCATTTACAGGATATGAATTCAGAGCTGTAGGTAAACAAATGGTCTGAATTCATGTGTGAGACTGACAGAGGATATAAACACACACACAGGTCTGATGTAACAGCGCTCGTTCCATATTCATAACCCAAATGTTTATTGATGAGCGATCTGCCTAATAAACCCAGAAGACCAGGCGGAGACAGAATGAGGAGAGGCCGCATCTATTCACACTGTCGTACGATCACTGAGCAGCTCAACCTTGGCACTTCTGGCTGCATCACTCACTCCTGCAGCCGTTCTTCCTCCTCCTCATTAGAAGTGGAAATGACTAGATGAATAAGTAGAAAGTGACGAGCCTCTCAAAAACTCTCACGACAGCTTCTGTACCTCAGTGAGTGATCAGAATGAAGCTGCACTACCAGCACTGAGTCACTGTTTCACATCATGTCCAGCCAGAAAGCCTGGCTGCTGCATCACTCTCAGCTTGGTTTTAGCCATCTGCTTTCTCAGCCAGGTATCCCGACGACTGGCTGTCACACTGCGACTCTGCAGCTCACGCTTTACCTCACATGCAGGACAAGTGTGTCTCTTTAAAGAAAGGTGGGAGGCTTTACCTCACATGCAGTGAGTCTCTTTAAAGTGTGTCTCTTTAAAGAAAGGTGGGAAGAAAGTGTGTGGAGTCGAGGTGGATGGACGTGTGGTGCATTAGAGTCCTGTCACAGGCCTGCAATTAGCATTTGCCTTTATTATTAACAGCAGCCATAATCTCCTTCTGATCTTAAACA